AATACATCCCCAAGCCCTTTTTTTCATCTGCCTATGCAGGTACATACACCGTTGCTGACGAATATTGGAGATGTCGGGCTTTTTTAATCTTACTCAACTCTGAAGAAGCTGAGTGGCCTATAGATGACCAAAATGCTTTGTTGGCTTCTTGCCGGGAGTGTGCATGCGTGAGTGAGTGTGGCGTGCATGTATAAAAAAAAAGCTTTTCTCTGAAAAGAGCAGAGAAGGGCAGTGTGACCTCGATGAAAGTGAATGATGCATCTTTTCCCTGCCCACCCCCTGCCCCATCTCACATGTTATTTATTATATTGGAGGGTTAGAATCTGGGGCACCCTGGTATCTTCCTGTATCCTGTGCTCTTGCTACCTACCCTTTTGGGGGTTCACACTGACAAATCCTTGCTGACTGGAGTCAGGGTGTGTGGATTGGATCACTTCAATTCATGCCAGGAGAAGAATCATTAGATTCTAAATGCATTCGGAAGAGAGGGGGCAGAGAGACAGACTCGGAGGATCACAGAGGCTCCTCAAAGCTGGTGACGCTCCGATTTCCCATGGGAAAGGAAATGAAGTGGCAGCCCTAGCTTCAGCTCCCCGTGACACAATTGCTTTGTCTTTGCTACCTCCAAAGCACCAGGGCATTCATTAATTGGTTTTCTCAATTCTAGGTTTTGCAAAGCTGTGGCAGAAAGCCCCAGAAAAGCACTGGAAGGCTGGCTTCTGCTTCAATCCATCATGAGAAGCCATCAAGAAGATGTTGCCTTTCTTGTACTGCCATTAAAAATGCAATATCTGGCTTTAAAATATACTGGTCTTTCTGCCTTTCTTTCCCAACCTGGTCTCCTCCCTGTCAGCACTCTCCTGCAATCGTTTTTTTTCTGTCACACACACATACACACACACAAACTCTCACACTCACATGCTCAATTAAAATTTCTGAGAAAGGCAGAAGTGCAAGGGAAGAAGTGGCAGTGGAGTAGAAAGATGAGCTGACAGATAAACCTAGATTTAAGCTCTAACTCTGGGTGAGTTTGGCCAAGCAGCTCTCTTCTCTAGGTTCAGTGTCCTTACCTGGAAAAACAAGAGTGCTACTCCCTGAGTCCCTCACAGCTTTGACAATAAATAGTCTTTCTCTTGTGTTGTAGACAACTAATATCATTCTTGAAATGTCTGGCTATGAGTTGTAGCCACAGATCTACCTATTAAGGTGCTCAGAAAGGTCTCGCTCATAGAATTAGTGCCGAGGCATTAGGGGCATGTTCATATCAGCAGGATATTCTGATTTTTTTCCAGACATGCTTGCAATGGGATGCAGCTCAATGTAGGAGAACTATAACATTGCTTTTGAGTCAAATAGACCTGAGTTTGAATTTAGGATGTCACTTCCTGGCTGTGTGACTGCAGGTGAATCACTTAGCTTCTCTGATCCCTAGTTTCTTCTATAGTAACATAGGAATAATACCCGTAATGGAAGGTTGTTAGAAGAGTAAATGCAATCATATGAAGGTAGAGAGCTTGGCACGGTGTCTGGTACATGGCATGGCATGTATGCAATACACAGTAGGGTGATGTTTTTTGCTCCTAAAAATGAATACTGGAGACATGCATGCATACATGCAGAAAAGGCACATAGGACCTAGAGCAGTGAAAACAATTTAATATACTATTTGAATTGACTGTTGCTGCTCCATATGGAGAATATTCTAAGACAGACAGACACACACACACACACACACACACACACACACACAGTTCAGCTTCTAAAGGCAGTAGCAACCAATCCTAATTTCCTTAAGGTAATACACTTAAAATGCTGAGTAGAGATTTTGGCACATAAGTTCTCAGTAAATACTAGTTATACTCATTTTTATTTAAAATATCTTTCAGTAGAGTAAATTCCAGTTTATTATATACCTCTTCCCCATTCTCCTCTCTGAAGAGGCCTGGTTTTTTTTTTTTTTTTTTTTTTTTTGAGACAGAGTCTCACTCTTGTCGCCCAGGCTGGAGTACAGTGGCGCGATCTCGGCTCACTGAAACCTCTGGAAGAGGCCTCTTTTTAAGAGGCAACATGGGGCACAGAAAATCTCTATAAGTAGGAGCCTCAAGCCGTCAGTCTGATGCTGAGTTCTTAATCACAAAATCATAGCACTTCAGAGCTTGGCTGGTAGAGAAACTGAAACACAAATGGTTTACGTGATTTGACCAAGGTCGTGGAGGAACCCCAGTTCTCACGGAGTTCTCCTCATGTTCTTTGCCCTCGTAAGTTCCAACTAAGTCTATGAGAATGAAAATGCTTGACAAAGTCCAGGTGCTTTCCAAATGCCAGAGGCCCCTCTCCAGCACCTGCCAGCTCCTACAGCAGCCTTGGCAGAGGGCCACGGCCACTGGAGGTATTTAAGGCTGTCTGCAGCAACCACACCACTGTCAAAGTAGAGCACTGCTGCCCAAAGCTGGCCTTGGTTTCTGTCAAGGCATGGAGCACAATACAACCTGGAAAGGGACTCCATGGCCCCTCATGCTGAGCAGGCTGTGCCAGCATCAAAGCAGAGGGTAGCCCAGTTGGAGCTGCCCAGAGTTAAACATTAGTCTGCCAAACTCTGGCTCTGTGTGCTGGTATGTGGCCATGGGGATGCACAAAAGCTAGAAAGGCCAAAAGAAGGAAAGAAAAACATCTCTTTTTCTTTTTCTACGTTTATTCATTCACTCATTGCTTAGTCATTTCCTTATTCAGTTTTTCTTTTTTACTATCATTGGAGAAAGGGCATGGCTAAGATTTCATTATTTAGTAAAAGAGACACAAATAGAGATACAAACCAATTATAATTCAATATGGCAAGTGCTCTAATAGCAAAATACTGTGGCAAAGGAGAGGGAAGCATTCAATTTTCTTGGTTTCCAAATATTAACGGAGTAGAGATTGTGTAATAATCAAGGTTTAATCAGAGAAATAAAACTGATAAATATATGTATATTCATAAACATATACATATATGCATGCATACATTCATGTATATATAATATACATATATACACATATATACATACACATGAATGTACATACATATATACACACACATGAATGTACATACATATATACGCACACATGTGAATGTACATACATATATACACACACGAATGTACATACATATATACACACACATGTGAATGTACATACATATATATGCACATGTATATTTAGGGATTTGACCTTACATGATTGTGGAAGTTGGTTTAACAGCCTGTATATGGTTACTGTCTTTGCTCAGATTTGGCAAACCTTTTCTTTAAAGGAGCAGACAATACATATTTTAGGTTTTGGGAGACATACGATCTCTGAAGCACAGAAGCAGCCCCAAGCAATTAATAAACACATGGATCTGGCTATGTGCCAATAAAATTTCATTTACAAAAACAGGTAGTGGGTTGGATTTGCTCTGCGGGTCATAGTTTGCAGACTACTGACCATCTTTGCCACTACTGGTTCTGGAGCCTGAAGTTAGTAGGGCAGAGAGTTGGGCAAGGAAGTTGATATGAAGTGTGGGAGAGCAAGGATGAACTGGAGCTTGCAAAGATGGAGAACGGCCTGGAATCTGCCTCAGTTTCTCATTGTCTTCCAGCCTCCAACTTTAGTAATGTTTGAGTCCTGAAGAGGTGGTGTCTCTTCATGCACTAAATTCACATGCAATCCAGGAGTTAAAAAAAACTGAAGAAGGATCCAGTGGGAGGTGGAATTGCTGCTAGTCTGGCTGTTGGCCCAGACCAACAAGGTTTGCAAGCGGATAAGTAGCAATAGACATGGTTTGCAATAGCACCTGGTGTTCCTGCATTGACCCTCTGAATGTTAACTAACTAAGGCTTCTGCTTTAATTCATCCTTCCAAAACTCATGCAAAATGTCTCCTATGACCCATGCTAACTTGAAACAATGTAAGAAAGGAAATTCTAGGAGGCATAAGTCTACTTGAACTAAGTTGACCCAGTGAAGTCCATACAGATGAGGAAGGTTTCAGACAGGAGCCTACATTGGAACTGGACCTCAAGTATGAATGAGCATTTTTACCAACTGAAAGACACCCCCAGAATCCTCAGAAAGCATTCTTTATGGGTGATCTGTTGTCACATGACTCTAACACAGCGTTTATAAGGAGAAACAACCTGTTCTTTTGCTTGCCAAGCATTTGAATAATTTATGTCCTTTTTTTTTTTTTTCACTAATTGACTACTTCCATTAGAATCCAGATGTGAGCAGGATGGTGACTTCTGTGTCCATCTTGGCTCAAATTTTTCCATGAAAGTCCAGCCAGTTTGTTTGTCCATACCCGGCAGGAAAACCTACCTCTGGGAGAAAGAGGCTGCTCTGTCTAGGCAAATCATTCAATGCTCAAGCATATTCACATTTAACAATGTTTTAGCAGATAATTCCCATCAAAATTTTTTATTGTGTGTCACAGAACTGACTTCTTTCCCCCCATTTTTAGCAACTTGTTCTTTCTTGTGTTTTTCTTCATTAATGTTGTCAGATTTTACTAGATGTTCCAGCACCAGATGTTATATTTAATTCCTCCTTCTTCTAATTCTTTCATGTTTTGAGCTTACCTCCACACCTCTTGCAATCATCCACTCATTCATTGACTTTCCATATATCCATCTTGTTATTCATCTTCGTATTTATTTATTCGCTTATCTATCCATCTATCTCTCCATTCATTTGTCCATCCATCTACTTATCCCTTCATCTCCTTTTTTTTTTTTTTTTCCTTTGGCTACTACCCGGAAATAGGGTAGATAGAATACTGAAATAGTCTTCTATCATCTCATTCTTAAATGATTACAAGGTCCAATAAACTGGTTTTCCTGAGAGGCTTAGTGAATGCATAGGATGTGGAGTAACATGGGCTTACATTTGAATTCTGTCTCTGTCCTTTACTAACTCTATGATCTTAAGCACATAATTGAAACTCTCTGGGTCCATTGAGGAACTAATAATATCCACATCTCAGGATTGTTGTAAGTGTTTATTGAAAAAAGGTTTATAAGGCAAGTAGTACAGTGCTTGGAACGTGCAAGACACTCAATAAATGCTAATTCATTCCCTCCTCTCTATTTCTTATATCCTAACTACTTTATAATGTTTTTTTCATATATCTTCACAAACACTTGAAATTGTCACCTAACTCTCGGGCCTTTGCTGAAATCATCCTTCTTCCAACAACTGTGTCCACCCCAAATCCTAACTTCCTGTTGAGACACATCACTATTTCTAACTTCGGGTCTTCAATCATGTAAACTTTTCTTCTTGAATTATCTGTCTTCCTATTTCTTTTTGTAGAAAATGGATCTGATTTCTTGGACTCTCTCCTTCCCCTATGAAAATGCTACCTCTTTCTATAACCTTCTTGAATCCCCCAATTTAAATCTTTACCCCCACTGTATTACTGTAAGACTTTATTTGCAGGCAAGAGAAAAGGGATCTTCATTTCTGAGCATACACTGTTGAGTGTGGATATACTTCTTATGTGCTTTTCACAGCAATTTCATGAAGTAATTAGTATCTTTATTCTTTTTAGTAGAAGAACTTTCCCAAGGTCACTCAGTTAATAAAGACCAAAGCAAAAATATGAACCCAGGTCCAAATATCTTAATTCAAAATATCTTCCATTTCATACTACCTTGCCTTCCATCCTCTATCATATATAGTAATAATTCTGTAAAAATGTTAAAAAACATAATTTTGACATTTATCAAAGATTTTGAAAAATGAAAAGCTATGATTGGCCCCATAAATACATGATATTAAAGGATAGGGATAGTGTTTTATTTATTCCTGTATCACCTTCACTGTCCTGGTGTAAAAAACCTACCAATAGGCATATGGTAAATGTCCAACCGAAAGACATCAAAAGCATAAACAGGACCTTTCACCAGAGTCGTATTCTTGAGATTCTGCTTCAATTTCAAATGTTAAAAGTGATCATAAATCCTTCAGCCATCATATTTTCAGGGTAAGGTCAGTTTCGGTGTTCTTTCTTTTTTGTAAGAATGTCTGCAACAAAAATGGAATTATTATTGTTAAATTCTTATCATAATAAGACTCTTCATAAATTAGAGTCCTTGGCTATTTTGTGAAAATCCTTGGCCTGATTTCTGCAGCCAGAAGGCAGCAAGTTTCTTTATTTGTCTCTCCATAGCATAAGTAACCCTGTACAAGTTAAATTTGTTTTATTTATAGGTTGGAAGAGCTTTCACCCATAAGGAGTGCCGAATAAATAGACTTTTTCTATCATTCTCCAAAGAGGTTGGAAAGGAACTGCTCAGGAGGAAAGCCTGGAGGGCACAAATTGTCAGAATGAAGTATAGTCTTTTGTTCAGAATCAGAAGAGTTAACCACTCAAATCATAAAATACCAGATGAAGCTCACTTCACCCAATAGGAGTGAGCAAAGTGAGAAGGAGGAAGACATGGTGACACAGAAAACCTCCAAGGAGTAATCTCTCCAGTTTAAGTCAAGACAAGTTCACTTGGGATCCTCAAGGTTATATTTTTGCCTAAAAGGCCAAGGAAGTATGCTTTCTGATAGCACAGAAAAGAGTTATAGTTTAAAAAAACAGAGATTGAGAGGGCAATGCAGAATAATCTGTTGATCTGTGGAGTGTCTATGTCTAGTTATTTTTACTTGAGTGTGAGAAGAGCAACTCAAAATTATGGAATTGAAGGAGTTCAAAGATCAATGCAACATGATTAAATAATCATATTGTGAATTAAATAAACATAAATAATCATATTAGACCTTAAATCTGCTATCTCTTTGGAGAGAAATGAGATGGTTATGATCTTTGATAAACCCCCAAATTCTCTGTTGTCCTCATAAAAGGAACATGCTGCTGTTTCACTGTGAGCTTTGAGAACCTTTTGAAGAGAAAGAATGGGTTTTTGTTGCTCAGTACATACAAACGTGCCTGGTGCCCCTTCTAATTAATGGCATTTATTTCCCCCATAGAGTTGCCTAAGGCTGAAGGCAGGGATGTGGCATTGAGACAGAACTAACCTAACTGGCTCTCATGGGAATTGATCACATGCATTGACCTTCCACTACAGTGTTCTAAGCATTTGAGTTAGCTGAGTGTGCCTTCCCTACAAATAAGTCTCAGTCATTCCATAGAAAAGAAGATGGGATTGTCAGGTATCAGGTTTAAAACACTGTATCTTTAAGAAGTTTACTTTCAAAGCAGGGTGTGGAACTTTCTAAAGAGAAGCCCTGCATGGTCATAAACTATTCATGAAAGTTCTCATGTTTCTAGAACTACCTACTTTCTAGTTCCCTTAACTGGTCTTATTACTACCTGACTCATCTTACTGACAACTCTGACCTCAGATCTACCTTTAATTTATTTTAATACATTCCCTTTTTTATCCTGGACATAAGGTGTATAAATTGTTGATATCTTGTCCATTTGATACCTGACCTTGACCTTCCTTGACACCACTGTCCTTACTTTTGCTAGAGATGTCAGTGTCAGACACATTTCTCACTGCCTGCTCTTGATATCCCATTCCTACCCCCATTTTTGGCTTTGCTTTCCCTGTGAAAACTTTACAACTGAAAGAGGTTCCACTCCATGACACAAAGCCAAAGGCAGGACAAGGGACTGCAAAGGCTCCCACAGCAAAGTCTTCAGTGTCATAGGCCAGAGGGAATGAGCTCCATCACCCTTAGCACGTAAGCAACAAGAGGCCTGGCCTAGTTTCATACACCCCAGAGAACCCTTAGCTAAGCAGGTGGTCACACCAACTTGAGACTATGCTTCAACTGTATCTATGTCCTGGGAAAAGCCAACCACATCATTTTGCATCAGCCAATGCAGTGCAATAGAATAGTACATGCTTTGGAGCCAGGGCTACTTGGGTTGGAATCCTGGTTCTACTCCTTGCTAACTGTGTTACTTCAATCAAGTTTCTTAATTTTTCTAAGCCTCAGTTTCCTTACCTATAAAATGGGGGTAATTGTACTTGCCTTTCACTGTCATTGTGAGAATTTAGAGATAATAATTATAAAATATAGGACATTGCATATAACATACGATAAATAGAGTTTATTATTATTTATCTTTCCTTGCTATTTTTGTCATTATTATTATTGTTATGACAGGGCTTTAATGTCCAGATTCTGGCAAGAATAGCGAACATTTCAAATATCCAGGCAGCTCATTTCTTGAGAGATGGACCACAGGTTTCCTCACAAACTAGGCTGGTTGCTCAGTGTTGTAAATCACCACTTGGCTTCCTGCCTGAACTTTTAATCTTGTCCCCATCTCAATTTAAAGAGGGTGAGAAAGCAGAGACATCAATCGTTTCCTTGTCAAGGACAACATCCCCTTCCTTCTTCCTTGGATCTCTCCTGGGGACCCATCTGCCTGGTGCCAAGGGAGGGGGCTGCTGCTGAATACAAATCACCATGTGGTGGGGGAGGCTTGTGCTTCTATATCAGCCAAGAGCCATTTTGCCATCTCTGTGTGAGACTCCAATGAGCCCAACCCAGTCCTCCCACTGCTCCTGGGGTTAAGCGCCCCACTGCTTCACAGTCACCCTGGATAGTGATGTAACCATGAAGATGGCAGTTACCCAAGGTACTGGGACACAGACTTTATTGATTTGTTCTTCTAATGCATTAGGAGGAAACAGGAAACCTCAGGAAGGTCATAAGCGACAATTGTGCATTGACTGGCACAGACATTGACTTCATTCAGAAAGGCACGACTCAAGTGGCCTTGCTTTCAGAGAGGAGGGGGGCCATAGAGGCACGACTCAGAAAATAAAGACAATAAGCACGGGCTGGATCACAGGGAATCAGAAGGAACTGAAGAACCTAACGCTCAAGCTCACACTTGAGGGAAAGTCTTTGTTCAGTTCCTGGTAGAGCCAGATGTTCAATCGATGTTACTAAACAATTGGATGAAGGCATAAACCAGCAAGGGTGAGCCCCTTAGAACTTCCTCTATCGATTTTCTGGGCACCTCTGTACCATTTTCCCATTTGATTCTGTGGTTACATGCCCTTCTTTCCATCTCTTTTTCATGATCTTTAAAGCTGAGCACGTCAGAGAACTTTTAATGGACTCCCGCTGTTTCCTTCAGCTTTCAACCTCTTGCGATGCGCCCTGTAATCACTGACCACTGCAAAAATCAGAATGACACGTTTGAAGATCTCCTGGCCCTCCTGTACCCTCTTTTCTTCTAGGTCTGTGTTCTGGACATTTGGGGTCTGCCTCTCAAAAGTTTTGCCTTCTCTGATGATTATATTAACGAGAAGTGCCATCTTTCTTCAAGGGTTCTGGTTATTTCAACTTTATCATCCAATTCTCACTTTCTTGTGAGCAATGATTCCAGATGAGCATTTGAGTTAACTGGGTGTGCCTCCTCTACAGATAAGTCTCAGCCACTTCATAAAAGGGAAGTTGGGATTCTCAGGTATCAGGTTTAAAACACTGAATCTTTAAGACAAGATGAGTTTACTTTCAAAGCATGGTGTGGAACCTCGTAAAGAAAACTGTCTGTGAAGCCACATCTTTCCAAATGTTTGGCTTTAATCAATTCAGCGGACTTTTGGTTAGGATCCTAAGGTCTCTTCTAACCCCATAACTACAGTCAAATCATTAATCCAGAACTCAGTGGAACACTGCAGTTTTTGTAGAAACGGTTCTCTACTGATTGTTAATACTGAGAAACTATAGACTGCCAAGCAGAGATGGAACTTCAAACCATTCTTTTGTTTAGGCTTTTGTGGGCTCTGTACAGGCATCAGATCTCTAGTCCTGGTTTTAGTATCCTTGTAAAACATCATCTTGGCAGAAGGAGACGCAACAGAAAAGTGATATCTCCAATGAAAGACGTAATGCGGGGGTTTACTCATAAGTAGCGTGGAGATTAAGGACAAAGACTTCTGTAGAGCTCAGATTCTAACACAAGGAGGTGATTAGTCCCAGCTCTGCAAGTTACTCTCTCTGTAATTTAGGCACATGACTTAAACTTTGTAGCCTCATGTTACATTTTTACTAACAAACTAATAGTAGCCTCAAGCTTAAAAGGGATTACTAATAAACTGATTTGGGGGTGCTATGAAGATAAGTAGACAATGAATTTTCAATAGCCAGGCACATAGTAACTGCTCAATAAACAGTTGTTGGTTTTTTCCCTCATCACCCAAGATTCCAGTGAGTTCTAGACTAATAATTTGGCTTCAATTATAGACTCACGGGTTTAGAAGGAATGTTAATATCATATTTTAGGATAAAACATCTATATTTATTAACCACTAACTATGTCCCAGGCAATGTGGTAAGCAATTTGAAAATAATATTTTATTTATTGAGATAACAGATATTATACTCATATTTCAGATGAGAAAAGTGGGGCTCCCATGTATTAAATAATGTTCCTTAGGTCTTGCACCTCATCATTGATAAAGCAGAGGTGCATATCTTGGACTTTCTCACTCCAGAGCCCATTCTCTTAACCACATTGTTGTAAGAACATTTTAGAATGAGAAAGCAGTGGTATGACTTTAATAAGCTAAAAAATCAGTGAACTGTAGAGTCCCTGGGGAAATAGGGTTTGGAGAGTGGAGGTGGAAATGCACTAAAATAATAGATTCCAGTATCGATCTAGTGAGCGGAGCTGAGGAGACAGAGATTAGTAGGATTTGTAAAGTTGTTATTAGTATTTGCCAAAGATGTTTGCCATTGCCCATGTTCTTCATGGGAATGTTGCCTTTTGAATATCACTCTGGAAAACAGGATCACATAAAAATTCTTTCTTTCCTGTGTCCCAACATGCTTATTAAGTTTTCTCAGTACTGGGTACCATGATAGGCAGGGGGAGAACAGAGATATCAAACACAGGACAAGTTTTGCATTTGATGTGTTTGAATTACAGATATAAGAAGCTGTATCTGGAAAAAAATATGGGGCAGCATTTGGATGAGCTTTGAGTCTACACTGAGGAGTCTTGACTTCAGCAACAACCTAACATATGGAGTTATTTAGGAGGG